AGCGGCACCATCCAGAAAGAATTTCCATGGTCGCCGACTTCGTATCCAGTCGTCGCTGAAGTTCTCGCCGAACGCGGACTCACCCCGGAGCGCAATACCCCGGAGCGCAACACCCCGGAGTGCAACGACTCTTCGGTCGCCATTCTCGCCGTCAGACTGGACGCTACGCTATTATGATTCGCCCCGCAGTGCGAAGCCTGTCAGCGTGAAGCAGGTTGTCACGCGCACGGTGACCTACAAGCGCACTCAGCTTGAAGCACCGCCGAAGGGAAAGCGGCGCAAGTGTCGCGAAGCCAAGGAAGTCGACTGATAATCTGGGCTTATGGATTTTACTGTTTGATTCATGCATTTTGCTAGTCGGTGGGTTTAGCGTGGGGGCTGGATTCGGCGTTGAGAGCGCATTTTCTTTTGTTCAAAAATCATACACTATAAGCCCGGTGCTTTATTGTCTTATTTGCTTATGCTTCTTGGTACCATGTCGTCTTGCCTTTCGGGTGGTGATTCGAAGAATACGTTTTGTGGCGGCTTGGGCACACGATTATTTGTGACCCTTCCTCACACCGACAGTTGCATTTGATGCTTTGCGCCTGGTTAGTGCCTTGATAGTCTGAAGCTTATTTTGTGTATTATTTACACTGTCTACCATCGTCAATTTATTCTCATTATAACTCACTGAACTGAAAGGTTCTTTCCATTCTCTGCCTTCGTATCTACATAGAGACTGACCTCGGGACTATTCCTGAGCCAATTGCATTCTCTGCCTCCAGTCTACCAAGTCTACCTACGACGTGTCGTCATATTAGCTTGAATTGTTAAACACGTCACATTACTTAGACACCGTCCAATCGGGACGAGGAATTTGGTATTAAATCTCCGGCTTTAGCTGCTTAACCAACACTGGATTCTTGATGGGATAGGGTGATACTCGACGAACGTCCGCTTTGACCACACGAGAGACATGGATGGCAGACCTTGGCGAATGACCCCGGTAACAATCGACAACAATTTTGCTAGATACACTTTGAACACGCGCGTTGTGTTGGCGTTATCCATATTCCCGGGTGCCGCTACTCCCATTTCAACTACCCTGCATTTCACCACGTGTCACCCATGCAATAGTCGATCTGTATGAGCCTCATTCAATATACGAAAGTACTGCCAACACTTTTTTTCTTGGGTACCAATGCCTAAGTCTTGATATTGCGTAAACACGAGAAGCACGTCTTTCATGTACAACATAGAGCATATCTTACTACAGTGGCGCTTGGTTTCCTATTTTTGGACAAAGGATCTGGACGAGGCTGAGCAAGTCCATCGGCCCCATTATTACGGAGTATACCGATGGCATATCTAGTAGTCAAAGGATTCTATACGGATTTACACGGCTTAATTTGTTGACTCGATTGATCGGACGCTACACAGTTGAAATGTAAACCGAGGTTCACAGCAGGCATATGCCCGTCGATGTTATCGAAAGAGATCTAGCTCGTGCGGCTTCATTTCAAACAAAGGGAATATTGAATCTTATACAATCATAGGGCCCAGTCAAAATCAAATCGGGCTTTAGTCTGATTTGCTCATTACTCCTCGCTCTACTCGGATTTGCCCAAGTAACATGCAAAAGATTAATCCGTTACAATACTAATTACATACTTGAAGTAATATTACAGCGTACTGGCAGTATTGGCGTACACAAATGTACATCGTGACACTAATGCGGAAGATCACACGTTTTATTCACTATTCATGCAGTCAACGAGAGTTTACAGCTCTGCATTTGATAAACTGTCCAGTAAGCACGCAGAATACGAGGTCTCCCATTTGATCAGGAAAACACAAGCACCGGATGCATTTGTGATGTTGACGACTGGGGCGTGATAGTGATAATAACGCCACTGATTGGGCCCTACAGTGCCTCCCGTGTTTCAAGTTGTCGCTGAAGAAATGTGACCGGGATCAAGTTGCTCTTTAAACCGTTAGTTGTTTTAAGGTTGCCCCTGAGATATGGAACCGTCAGTATCTCATTCTCTAATCTAACGTGTAAAAGAGGCATGGGTAACACCTAGGTGGCCGGAAGAGTAGTATAAACCAATATTACCTGCTAAGAAAGAAAAAAACAACTACAAATTACACGAACAACATTCGAAGGTCCATATTGGACTGATGACTCCTGTTTTTTTCAAAAATATAGAGTTTCTTTGCTCTGCGAGAATATGATCTTTAATTTTCCTGATCCTCTTGGATGTTTATATTGGTTCTTCCTCGAAGCATCATCACAGAGGACCCAGAACCAAAAACGACATACCGCTCACATCCCTGGCATTCTGACCAATCAGCGATATTAATGAAGGAGGGGCACTGAAGTGGTAAATGCAGTTAAGCGCCGGCGCTATACCTATTTTGGACAACAAATTAATGGAACAGTGGGGATTCAAAGTTGCCCCACCAGCGCTTGGGCACTAATGTGGATTCCCGGTTGCTAATCTAATTGGTCTACATCGGATGTATGTAGGAGCGATGTGATGAGGTTGGGGTCATTTCTTTTCAACAGGGGTTGTGAGTCGACGGCTTATTTTTAGCTGAGAGTGACTCTCGCATGGCACTCAAGGAATATTCGAGCCCAGGTGACATTTTCTTCGCGCCAAGGCAACAAATCGGTGTGATCTCTTTTTATGCAAGTACAAGCATTGTTATCCATAAATAGAAAGAAGAGCTGTTCCTAATCAGTCGGCCAGATAGGACTTGATTTACTCCCTTCAAATCACAGACTGCCTAGTAAAATTGGTATAGATTACCATTTACCTACATGAAATCGAACTCGGTCCCTGTCACGAGTAACACCCGTAATATTATAAAGAGGGGGCAAATAATCACAGTCCCTATCTTATGATTTTGCGTGGCTGCTGTACAACAAATTAGACTTGCGAGGGCTCAGCGTTCGCAAGACCAATCATGTTCAAGAGGAACATTGAGGGAAGGAGGGGTATGCATATTCCTATGCGGTGTGATGTCCCGTGTGCTATTTCTGTACCACCGCGTTCTATTCATAGAACTGATGCCACGTCCATTTCCTGCTTTTTTTTAGCTCAATATGAACAGGGATGTGATATTTTTAGCACCCAACGTCGTGTAGAGTAAGTATGCTTGAATATCGATGTATGTTAGGTGCAAGCGCATTAGATATACAAGCAGATCTACGGTCTCGTTCAACCTTGCCTTCCTACTTGACGACTCATTCTGATCATCTTGTGTATACACACTAATAGTTGCTCACAATACTCAAAAACTTCGAACCAGAGATCAACGATGATAAGCAATGATATGTTCCTCAAATTAATATTAGGTCTGTATGGCTTCCATAACTGCCTGTGCTCCACCTAGGTAAATCCAGGTCCGTGTTTCTTAGCCACGAACTATATGTCTCTTCCAATGAAAAGCTACGAGAGCTTCTTGCACTCTATTGATCCTCACCGAGACCATGCTCCGACTTCCAATAATAGCTCTTAGTAGCGCCTACTTCTTCTATTTTTGAACCTCGCCGTCGCCTTAGACGCCCTTTTCCCTCGACGATCACACATTTTATGGATACGAATCTCCGACAACCAAGGATATCTAGCGGCAATCACGAAAAGCTTTGGCCGATTTCCTATTTCCCTCATGCACTTCGCACCAAGAAGCCAAACTTCGATTCAGCTGACCGCAAATACCCGGGTCCTTGCCAATCAGGGCACTCCGCCTGAGCTCTTTTCAAGACAGAAGCTCTCCATCACAAGCTTAGGATTAATTTTAGAACGCAATCTCCATTGATGCTGCTTCTATTCGCATATCTTGCCGCCTTGAGCAAAGTGCCACTGCATGGTCTTTCCCATCGACCCATACGAACCTGGTTGATCCCGGCCTTGCATAGGGCTTTCACACTATCCATGCCTGTTCCTCATGGCCTGCTACCTCATCCCCTCATCTTGTTGTTTATTTGTATGATACTGTATCATACTGGACCTGTCTTCATATGAAAACGTGGGTATTATATTCCTTGATGAACTTTCTCAATGTTTACCTTGGAGTCAGTGGCACTGTCTGACATTTGACTATTGGCGCTTGTACTTTAGGCTTGTTGTCGGTTCTGCTTCTATCTTTAGAAGTCGTCCTCGGTCAAAGAAGTTGCTAAGCCATCCTATCCACTTCCTATGATTTACTAACTTGCATCACCGCTCAATATAGATCTTACCTTATGCCTTGCCGATGTTTTTCCTTCTGCTTATTTCTCTTGCTCTTATAAGGTGGTAGCAATCACATCATGAGTTTAAGTCCATATAAGAGAATTGTTATACCTTCAATCTCTTTGTGTTCAGTTGTCAGTTTATCTAAACTTCGGCAACTTCTTTGATTCCTTTGGTTGAGACTTATCCAAAGACAGACCAAACATCTCTCTTATTTTCTCGCATTCCAGCTTTTCCTTCGACAAGAAGAAGCAAAAGACAATAGTCTGTTGCCAACTTGGCTTTTGGCAGGACGACCATCCAAGCAACATCATAACAAGTTGAGAATTTGGAAACTACCTTACTAACATAAACATTATACTGGAGTCATCTGAAAATCATTACATAGATGAATCCAGTGTTGCAAAGCCACCCTGTACAATGCTGGGATGTTTGCATAAATGCCAAGCCGCGGTTCTAAAATTAGAGAAACCAATAGACCCCCTGCTCCAACTTTGCATCCCAGCAATACATGAAACTCCAGCAACCCCGACACGGCAAGGCCTTTGACAATTAATACCGAATTTGCCTGCCTAGGTGCTTTCTTCCTACGATCCCGTGATCACCGAGTCGTAACAACCCCCGCCCAGTCATTCCCCACTCCGCCCATCCGCCGTCTGTATCTTGTCCAGCGCACTCTTCCTTTCCCATCCCGCCCCTCGTGATTTCGCCAGAGCCCACCCGCATTTTCTAGTCCGGATCTCAAGTTCCCCAAGTACGCGCCCGATAGCCTCCACTGCCATGGCTCAAGCACCACCCATGTTCACCCCTGATAGCGAATTCGCTGAGCTAGAAACCTCTCCAGGCCTCAAGGATGGGGGCCTTTCGTTAATGGCGCTGGCTCGATTTGAGTTCGAGGCGGGCAGGTCTAATGATGGCACTAAAATTTTGATGATTGAGTGGGAGGACGACGATCCGACCCGATCTGCGATGGAGGGGTCGTGGCATGTCTCATGGGCCGGCAAAACTGCCACGATGCCCGCCGATGAAAGACCGAGTGACAGCCTGCGCCGTTGCTACTTCTTGCTCCCTCCCTATACTACCATTCCTCCCATTGTCACTCTGTCGTATGAACCCAAGCCCTCGCCGACAGGTGTGCCTGCCCCTAAAAGGCCCCAAGACACCTTCCAGCTTAATCCTCTCCCCGCCATTTTCCCTCCTGCATTGGGCGCCACGGGACGCACAGCTGGCAAAAAGGGCGTTTTGCATACTATCTGGGCGAAGAAGCGCCTGCAAGTTCTTGAAAAGGAGATTGAGGATGAATCACGCAACAACGCCGAAGGAATCGCGCTGCTTATGGCCATTCAGGAGAAGGAATGGATTGAGTTGAACTTTGGAATAGGCTCGCGTGCTGTCGACTCGGTTGACGGTAACCATGATTCCGCGAATTCATCCTCCGTGTATCCAGCCACACCGGTGTCACCAGTCAGTGGCAGGAATCTGAGTGACAAACTTAAGGGACTCAAGTTGCAGACCAGCGACAAGGATCTGTCAGGAGGTGGTATGTATTTCTGCACCGACTTACATGTCCCAGAAGCTGACTTACTAGGACTAGGTTCTCACGGAGCATCGCTTCTGTCCCCGCAATCGCCTGATGTTGCAGTTTCCTCTTTCAGCTCGTTCAGCAGCCTCGCTAATAGCCACCTACATTCTATGCCAACGCCTAACACCAATCCCACCCCTACCCCAAGCTCTCACATTAATCTCTCGGGCCCCGAATCACTGAAACCCGTTGCACTCTTCCCGCCTGACTTCCTCCAGGAGACTCAACAGACAAGCGAGCCCACTGGGTTCACGGCAATGGATGCAGCGATGGGTTCAATCACGCGCACTCCGAGCAATGATTCCGGCGAAGAATTGTTCGCCAAGGCACTGAGCCCGCGCTCACCGGATCTCCCTCGCAGCCCATTCTCATTCCGTTGAACTTAAATTTCTCATGCATGATATGATACCACACACCATCTTTCACGACCTGCGCAATGATTCCCCTTCTGCGGTGCCATACCATCTGTCCACATTACATGCATCTACGATCATCTGTCCATCTTTTTTGTTCTGTCCATACTCTCGGATGCATATCATGCCCTATTCATACATTTTCATATATTATCTTGTTGCTATGTGAACGTGCCATACCATATCTATGGATCATATGTACATAGACGAAAGTCGAATTACATTGAACCCCCGACAATTAAGAAAAAAAAAGGCATATCCATGATTTTCTTTGCGACAGTAAATACCCGTCTGCGTAGGCGACTAGAAAAAAAAACAATAGCTACCAAGCAAAGCAAGTACTCAGGCGCGCCACCTCACACCTAGTATCCATATCCCTATGGCAAAGACGAACGGAAGAAAGAGAAACAATCAATAACAGACATCAATTAATTGCTCTTCTTACGCTGGCTTCCCTGCCGACCAGACTTCCCAGCAATCGCAGTCGACGCACCGGAAGTAGTGGCCGTCGCCTCGCCAGACTCCTTCTCAGTCTTCTTGCTAGTAGCAAACGATTCATCTTCCTGCGCATCCTTGCGCTCCGCGTACCACTGCCCAGCCTGCAGGACCAGGATGCCAACGAGGACGAGGGCGAGAATAGTATTGCTAGCGGAAAGAACCTTGAGCGAGTCCTCGCGACCAAGGATCTGCTCATTCTCGTCGGTGGAGGTAGCCAGCTCGGCGCCGTACCGGCCGGCAGAGGCGAGGCGCAGGCCCTTGACGATGTTGGCGATGTAGACTGTCACGCCGCACATGTAGAGGACCAGCGAGGCGCCGTCGAAGAGCATGTTTGATTCGGAGGGCTTGTAGAGCTTCGTGAGGAGGCCGGCTAGGCCGACGAAAATTACGATGTGCAGGATGCGTGGGATGAGCGGGGGCGAGGCGTGCAGGAAGCGGAGATGCGCTTCGAGGTAGTCATAGTGTGCGGTAGGTGTCAACACTGTGGACCACAAGATCGGGTAGTCGTAAGGGAAGAGGGAGAAGATAATGCCCAAGAAGAAACAGGTCGCTGGTTGGGCAGACTGAGTTAGTTTATTACAGTCTCGTGGCCTCTTTGCCGTTGGAGTCCGGGGACTCGCAATGCGATGGACTTACGGCAGACAATCATGAAAGTCGCGAACGAGCCGCTTTTGAAGGCCATTGTGAAAATTGGAAAAGCAGACGGGGTTTTGTGAGGGAAAAGGAGATTGACCAGGGGCCAGGCTGAAGTCACCCCAGGTATCGCTAAGCGGATGCCAAGCCCGTAGCCGGGAGATAAGGGCGTTTTACAAATCCTAGACAGAATTCTGGATGTCCAAACAATTGATGGCAATGGAAGATTGGAACATTTTATGTGAAATTTGAGAATCGATTTTGACAAATAAATGAATGTATGATACAGATTTCAACGCCTTTTAGCGCCGTTTCATAAATGATGCGAATAGTGGTATCTTCCAGAATATCCCGTAAATGCAAATGTACATAACAACATCATCGCTGGTACCGAGGCAACGACTCGTCTGCATGCGCCGTCCCACCGACTAGCTGGTCATCCTCATCAAAGACTGGCGCACTGGGCCCGGCGCAAGGTTCGTGGTTACTGGGCTCGTCTTGCGGTGCACTCGCCTGCTGCTGGAGTCGGTGACGCTCAAGCTCTTGTTTATCATCGCCTGAAGTACGTGGCTCGCTGGGCCCAGCGCCGTTCGCAACAACAGTCTGCAGGGATTCCGCAGAGCGAACAGTATGCGGCCCCCCGCTTGTATCTGGTGAAGGCACATGCTGGTAGTCTTGAAGATGATGATCATCTGGCAAAACCGGCGCGGTCGGGACCTCCATTGATACTGTAGATGGGCCTGCCTCATCTTCCTCAGGCGGCTGACTAGGTAAGAGAGCTTCTTCGTGACGTCGTACCCGTGTTTTCTCGTCAACAGGCTCCTCGACTTCTGCAGGCGCAACCATAGGGTCCATTGGCTGGAAATTTTCAGTGTATTCTTCAGGATACTCTGCCCAATCCGTCTCCTCGGGGAAATACCCCTCCTCTGTCCCGTATTCACCATGGTAATCGCTATGGTAATCGCCATGGGAATTAGGAATTGGACTGATCTCTGGCCACTCCTCCCCATCAACAGGGTTAAGTAGAATTGCAGATGCAGGAGGCGCCGTTTGTGACTTGGTCGAGTCGCCAGCTGTAGATGATGTACGTTTCGTCGCTTTCCCTCGTTGTGAATCACGCGTCCCAACCACGACCTCAAAGGCCACCGAGATCACACCTTTTTCACGGCGGATTGCATCTGTGTCCAAGATATTGCCCGCCCAGTTGGCAGTAACGCCGTTCGAATCGGCTGGATTAAGGGCCTGACCGCTGGGTGAAAACGTAGTCCCACCGGAGACCATATTGAAACGCGGGATGAAGCGATCTGGTGAAGTGATTTTGCCTCGTAGGTCTGTTACAACCTCCACGTAGTACCGAAAATTGATCATGGCTCCTGGTACTCGCGTGATAGTTGGAAATGCGTCTTCGGGTATTCGAATGGAAGTCTTTACAACTGCAGTCATGGTGCTTGGATCAACGATCAGCGGGGCAAAAGTCTGCGACAAATCTTTACGAAAAGTGCTGCTTGTCCGACTTGTTCCCAAGGTAAGTCCTCCAAGTCCCGTTCGAGACCGCGGATAGCAGTCTTCGTATACCGGCTTTTTCCCGGCCGCCGTACTACCGATTGGAATTGCAGGATGAAGATCAATGCGACCTTGACGGTATAATGTGACCATAATTCCATGCGCACTGCGCACTTGTTTACAATGGTTGATCGTGACTGTGATGGGTAGGGTATCGCCGGGGAGCACGCCGGCGCGCAGAAGCTCAGCCTTTGCGGTGATGGTTTTATCGGACACAGATGGGGTCACACTGCGACCCTCGCTATTTTTTCCACTCGTGCTTGCGGATGAACTGGGATCGCTGGCGATTCGGAAGCTCTGACTGCTTTCGCTAGGCCGGCTAGATGAGCTGACATTGCTTGGTGAGGGGCTCAGCGGTGGTCTGGTATCTACGGAGGGTGCCGCGCCACTAATAGGGGTATCGACCGAGGATGTGTCCGGCCCTGCGGTTGCGTCTGAACTTGTTGACTTTGCTTTTCCCCTCTGTTTTGAGCGCCTCGAGACCGGTTCCAAGGTAACTATGCGAGCCCTGGGTGCAGGGAAGGGTGCGATGTCGATATTTTCCAAAAGATTGACCCGTCTTCTACATGTGAGGGTAGGGTTCATGGTAGTCGGTCGGGTAAGGGTAGAGGTAAGCGAGTAGCCGATAGTTCCACGTTCAAACTGCAGTTGCCCATTTGATTAGCATATTTAAGTATAAGAGGTCGCATCAGCAAACGCACGTTGATGCTGCTAGGAAGCGCATAAGGAGGAAGCCCCATTTCGAAACGAAACTTGTAGATGCCCTCCTTCAAGCGTCCATCGCCACAGAGAACAAGCTCATCCTCGAACAAGGTCGCTAACCCATTGCCCATGTATTCTGCACCTCGTCGACCCCGCCCTGGTCCTAAGAATCCCAAGTCGGGTGTTGTCTCTCCTGCCGGAATCGCATTCTTGAACACCTTGACATAGCCGTGGAGACATACGACTATATGCGTGATGCGAACAGGTCGTACAACAGTCACAACGACGGTACCTTTGATGACATCACCGGGGAAATAAGAGCGCCATGGGTCATCTGGATCGATATAGAAGTCGGTGATGCCTCGATTTCTTTGACCGAGCGGGGAGCGAAATTTGGATAGGAAAGAGTTGCGATTCCGACTGGCCGGCAACGTAGGTTGGGTTGGAGGGTTGGCGGACATGACACACAGCCAATGTTTACTGCATCTATACAAGAAAACGTGGCAGGGGTGAGAGGGATGGTGGGGATGGTAAACTGCAACCGATTTGGCGCCGATCGGACAGAGACACGCGCCGGTATTCTCTGCAGTACGGAATGGCGGGGAATAGTCAAACAGACCAGGAGGCACTCAGCCTAAGTCAAGGAATCCAATCAAGCGACACAAGGAAGATCAATCCTTTCGAAGGGTCTGGCGTCCAGGACCAATGCACTAAACACGGTCTGATTTCCAAAGGCCCACGGAATGTATCCTTGTCCACGCGCGAGAGATTTCCCGGGTCCAAAGAAAGGAATGGGGATTATGATCGAGGGCCACTGCACCACATTGTTTCTTGTGACATCGAAGCGCGAGGCAGGATTTCGACAGTACCCCCGCCAAGAACTCGCAGCGTATCAGGAGGCAAGGTCAGATCGCAAGATAAAGGAGTGGATATTTTCGTGGAGAATGACAGGGTTGAAAGGGACAGATGGCTCAGTATCGCGGGATACTGTGCTGTAGTCGAGAGTCTAGAACGGGGGTCGGGGGGTCGGGGGCCGGGGAGAGAGGGTGAAAGGCGCAACAGGAGATGGCGCGAGATCGGGAGGAATGTGGGACTCGAGAACGCAGGAGCCAACTTTGATAGACGATCGGAGGGGTTTATAGTAGTCGAAAAGGGGGGAGAATAAGAGAAGATGTGACAATAGAAGAGAAGAAAGAGAAGAGGGAGGAGAGAGGGTCGGGAGTTCGCGATAAGCCTCCGAGAGGCGGAGAACGAACTAGACGGGGCTTTCGATTCGCGTGTCGCACGGTCAAGCTTCTCTTGGTGTCCCGAGTGGCTCAACTAGTTTTATTTCTCCTTTTTCTCGATAATTTATATGATGATCACGAAGAACTAAAGACTGAATTGGTTTCATATTTCACATAATTTCCCCAAGGTCGCCATGTGCTAAGCAAACCTAAGCTTTTTTCCTCAAATCTTTATCCTATCCTAGTTCAGCAAGACCCTCTCCGTCCACGTACTCGTCTCCATAACATTCCCGCAAGACACCTTCAATGAGTTGTCGATCTCCGCCCACTAATTTGCGCAAATACTCCTCTAACATGTAGATATTATCTGTCCACTGCAGTGCCTGCTGTTGGAACCCCGCTAACTCCTCTTGGACCTGCTTCACACCCTTGCTGCTGAGCGAATTGAGGGGTCCGGAGAGTTGGGCCTCCGTAGTCCGTACCCGATCGATTACCACCTGAAGCTCGGTTCTTTTGGCCATTAGGGATTCTCGTTCGTGCTCGTCATCTGTCTCCTCCCCTCGGCGCATGGTTTCAGCGGCCAAAGCCGCTTCTGCATCGGCGCAAGACTTCCGGACTTTCTCCACCTCAGCAGTCACCCGGGCCAACTGGCGGTCGCGTGCGTGCTTTTCGTCACTGCTGAAACTCCAGTACCAGTTCCCACTGCCGATCTTCTCAACTCGTAGTTGACCCTCGTCGGTTAAAGCTTGGATGTATTCCTTGACCTGGATACCATTGATGGATGCAACCGAGGGTAGCGACTTCTCTAGATCCTTAAGCGTATGACAGGTTCTAGTGGCGCGGAGATGAGTCAAAATCAAATCCTGTTTATCGCTTTTGGTTAATTTGGCCTAGTGGCGCGTCAGTAGTCTCATCTAAATGGTCCTGGGCCTTGTCCAGGTGGAACATTCTAAAAGCCACGTACCATATTTCACGCACTGTCAAATAACTTCGAAAAAGCTTATCAATCCAGCGTCCACTCATTGGACAAGTATGAGATGGCTAAGCATTGGTGGAGGCGCAGTGATGGATGAGTTCAAAGTCAGCAGCCCAGGCCCGAGAGAACTGGAGGCTTACCTGTCACGCAACACAACCTGCCTAAGGTTGGAAAACCATACATGGAAACTCAACTTAACATTTGACATTGCTTACCTTTTCTATTCCGAGGGTTTCTCTGTACAACTATTTTTATTTTGCTTGAACACATTTGTAGAATGATGACTTGGAGATTACTAACGCTGCTAAAGATAGCCTTGTTGGGAGTCAGCGCAAGACTAGATTCACGCAGGACTATATAAAATTCGTAATATTTTCTAGGAAGAGCCATTCCTGGAAGACCCTACTTGGGTTAGACGTGTCAAGTGAGACAAGATCCTGCTACAGAAACGAGGTCTCGCAACCAGATGTCGCCCCAGTGCCAGCCATAATTGAACTGAAGCTCATGCAGGATGCACAGCATAACCAAGATTGTATTTTGGTTCGACGAGGGAGGGATCTCGAGATTGCTGCCAGCCGGCTAAATATTGGCCGATTTAATCACCGCAAGTTCTCTCCTCGGAGCTATCATTCTGTGTATAGCTCCATTGAAGACATTCGGTGTAGCGGGAGGCACACAGGCAGGCGCAGCAAGACTATCGTCTTACATATCAGAGTCTTTGAAGTCTGACTTTGTTGCCTCGCTGATGGGATATGTGCCGATACCATGTGCAGCGTGGCTGTGCCATGGTAGTGCATAGGGTGACCCGGTTTCCTTTCAAGAGGTTTCACTGAAGCTATGCAAGATCGCGCATAGCTTGATACAGCTGCAAGCATCAAAAGCCTCCGAGAGAATTCGGCCACGGAGAAATAGGTACAGTCTGACAACGTCATCCAGTCACCGTCTTTCGTCAATTTCGGTGTCCAAATCGGTTGTAACAGAATCAGAACGAGCCAACTTGCGTCTTTTTGATCTCTGACGGACAATACTGTTTGATCGTTTCCTTCCTGCTGCTGATTTAGCTGTGGTGTCGCTCTCGAGGCCCGTCTTATCGTCCTCTTCCTCCGACAGCTCTTCTCCTTCAACCAGAGCCAGATCCCCGGTTTCACCCAGTTCCTCCTTGGCCATCTCTTCGATCAGGATCCCAAATGCAAGCAGTGCTGTCTCATCCATAGTTTGATGGTCATCTTTGCCGTTGTCCGCCGTAGCGTATTCGTAGTAGTCGGCCGCATATGCATGTATCGTCTCAAGGAGCTCAGAGTTCGGGAGAGCTTGGTCAGAGGGAAGATTCTCATGCGCGAAGTAGGTTTTCTCCTCGATTGATTCCACTGGAATGTTCTGTTTGCGATAGAGAAGCTCCTCTGGACGCAAACTTCGAACGCTTGATGAGGTTGTGTCGCGGTATAGGGAAGCAATGTGACGAGGTGCGTTGACACCGCGGGGGTTGACGCGACCTAGTTGCAATTAGATATTTATTCTGCTTGGTATAACACGCTCGGCAAGCTTGGAAAACATACCAGCTACCGCATCATAGACGTTGGCGCGGCGTTTTATGTGCCTCGAAGGCTTATCGCCCGGTGCCTCTTGCCTATCTTCGACTTGCTCGACAGAACTGTCCTCATCCAAGCTGAGTGACCTAGCAACAGACATACTTGAGGTTTGCCAGGAAGACCAATCAAGGTTTGGCAAATCAAACAGTGATGTGCAGCGGATAGTGAGGAGTAAAGATCGAGGATCTTCAGCGGCCAAATTCGGGAAATGCGCCGGCACAACTTTAACCCGGTGAAGCATAGCATCATCGAGTGCTCTCGACTTCTCCATGCAAAAGCACCAGCGCTGATGAATGCATGAATTCCTATATACTCAACAGAGCCCTTGGGTCTGTAACTCCAAATGAATTCCATGTTGCTCAAACAACCCGGCTAGTGCACAACATTGAGCCCGCTCCGGGCATACGGTTTTCCAGCCGCAGAGCAGCTGCGCCAACGGACCGGTCCGAAGAGGATGTGGCGCCTCTAGATCAAGAGCTAGGTGCCACAGCGGAGGTATTTGCTCACAAATCCGGTGTGAACTGTCTCGCTGTCGATCAGTTTGAGGGCCGATAGTGCGTGTGCCACCGCTTAGCATATGACGGTTGTCAGTCAATCTAACATGAGGGCAGTATGATATCGGGAGGTGCCGACCCATCGATTCATCTCTGGGACCTTGAATCAAGAGGCTCAGAACTCGAACACGTCCATCAATCCTGCGCGTCCGTTAGCAAATCCTCTCACGCCGACGCGCATACACATGCGATTACCTCCCTGTCGATCTACCCGTTTGATCCCGTCCCATCGACGATCTTCTCGACAGCACACGATGGTACATTAAAGCTATCGGCGCTACAATCGCCCTCTATCACACCGATACATACATTCAACCTAGACTGTACGCCATATTCACACTCGTTCTCATCTCAGCCTGGGTCAACACTGCTCGTCGCAGTAGGCACGTCTGACCGGTCGGTCCGGCTAGTAGATTTACGATCTGGACTATCGACACAGGGTCTACCAGGACACAATGGCGCAGTCTTATCAGTAGCATGGGCACCTCATCGGCCGCATCTCCTAGCCTCTGCATCGGTTGACAACCGAGTGATCATATTCGACGTGCGTCGCGGAGGTCACAACTCTGCCATCGCTACCCTAGACATGGACGACCCAGTGGGACTGGTGGCCCCAGGAACTGGATCTGCACCGGTCTCATACGAGAGTCGTCCAGCCTTCTCCCGGCATGCCCGTGCCCACAATGGGCCTGTAACCGGAGTACGGTGGACCTCTAATGGCAGTCACATCGTGACGACAGGACAGGATTCCCGAATTCGAGTATGGGACTCCGCAACAGGCGCCAATACACTTGTTCATTTTGGCCCTCGGGTCCGTAATAGCTCTTCTTCGCACCTGGCTGAACGGGCACCGTTAATAGTGCCGAAAGGCACCATGAATCCAGGGCATGAAACACTACTGTGGCCGAATTTCAATGAGCAGGATGATCGTGGTGAGATTTTCATGTTCGAGCTCCGCGAGGGGACATTCATTAAGCGTCTCCGCGTGCCGGGTCTCATGGCTGGGTCACAGAATGTCCGCGGTCGGTCGAGTGCTTTGAGCGCTGGGCGTATCAATGATCTTGCCTGGCGAGGGAATGGTGCCTCTGGAGAAGGGATAGAGATGTTCTCTGCGCACGGCGATGGAACGATCCGGACGTGGGTGTCTCACGAACCGGACGGCGAACCTACTGAAACCGAGCAAGCAGCTCAAGCCGATCGCAAAAGGAAGCGAGATGTTCTCGAAGAACTTTATAAAGGATTTATTGGGCCTGACCAGCCCAGGCTACGAATCTAATCATTGAATAGCACACTCTACTCAGAAAGTCTAATGGGATTTGTTCAATGGTATTGAATTGTTTTACATATGACAAACGCCATTCATAACATCATGCACCGGATAGCACGAGGCCAAAGGAAGCCAGCCATCATTTTGAAAAACGAAAATGTCACACCAATGGTTGAGGAGACCCTCTACTCCTCCTGATAGCGCTCAAATTCACTCCGGTTATACTTGGAATGTTTGAGATCGCGAGTATCACCATGGCCAGCGTGGTTATTGGAGCCCATGTAGGCATGTTTGGCCTCAATGCCAGCCGGCATGGAGTTGCCTGTGCCGCTGATAACCTCGCCGGTCTGACCTACATCCCGGGTCGAGCGTGGCAGGTCGGTAGTGTTGTCAGCGGCCATCGCTGTTGAGGGCTCGGCGATGCCTCCGTTGTCGAAGCCGAAATGCTCGGCGCGCTGGTCTGGGCGTGGCACCGAGGGGATGGTATTCATCATGCCGGCGTCGTTGGGAATGCGTGTGCCTTGGGCGGCCATTTCAGAGAGGCTGCCGCCTTGGTGGGGGTCTTGCTGAACCATTTTGGAGATAGAAGTGATTGTTGGATTCGAAGCGGTTTGATGTCCAGTGGAGGAGATATCAAGTAAAAGATTTGGGTTGCGGTAGCGTGATTTGATACAACGAGATCAGACTATACTAGTACTCTCTTATATTCCGTTCTGGAGGCCAGGTCCTGTACTACTGGTACTGATGTCACGATGGTTGGAGATCGTCTAGAGATGATGGGCAATGATATCACATGGGTAGTAATTGGTCGTTGGTATCAAGCACAGAGAAGAAATACAAGAAATTAATTAAGAAAATGCCGCTGATTAATATGAAATACCGGAAATTGTTGGATTGAGAGCCAATATCCTGGAATTCAAGTTCAGGTGGGTTTTGCTGTCATTGAGCTTGAGGATTCGGAGTGGCGAACCAAAATGCCAACTTGTTATCAAGGCGAATTGACCCACACTATTGGAGTCTACCTAGGTAGGTGTTCGGGATCACGAACCGCAAATGAGATGTTTGTTGGGGTTGAGTGTTCCACTGATCATGCATGAAATTCTATAGTTAATAGATGGTTTCTTATCAAGCGGTCACTCAAGACATGGGCGTGGGCTTCGCTAATGGTTACAGAACGAATACTACGAGTAGGAAGAAGAAACCAAGGGTCAATGCTTGGGTGCGGTGAATCTGTAACTTTCTGAAGGAAATATTCGTCATTAAAGGCTGGGCCAATGGATAAGGTACAGTAACGTTGTACGAAAATGAATGAGTTTGAAGGAAACATAAAGCGCGTAATAACGAATGACGAGGACTAATAATGCACGAAACAGCTCAAACCGACGGCCAACTATCTATAGGATGAAGGCAAGGACACCCATGACAGCAGCGGCAGCGGAGACAATGCCTCCGGAGACGCGAGCAGCGTTACCCTGGAACATGATTCCATGAGATACAGAAGCCGACGCGGAGGACGAGGGAGAAGCCTTCTGCTCAGCGGAGACACCAGTAGGGATCATCTTGCCCATGCTATTGGACGGTGCGGCGTTGGAGGCGGGGGTAGCCATAGGAACATCCACGGCGATCTTCGAGTACGAGGGACGCTGGGAAGCATAGTTGTAGGGGGCAGAAGCCGAGGCGGCGTAGGGGTCAGCCCCTACAGGGTGCTGAGGGTAGTTTTCGTAGTCGGGGCTAGAACCGGCAACGGAGGTGGCCATAGGCGCATGCGCTCGGACCACGGACTCACCCGCGGGCACGGGGTAGGAAGGGTGGCCGGAAACATAGTTGGAAGGAGCAGGAGCGGGAGAGGCGTAGGGGTCAGCTCCGGCAGAGTGCTGGGGATATTCGGCGTAGGGAACGGGGGCGAAGGACTCCTGGGGAGCGTAGCCGGAGAACGTATCGGTATCCACAACGGGCGCCGACTGGTAGGCCATGTGCGTCGCCTCAGCAGTCTTGTACTGGGTCTTAGTGACGGTGTGGACAACCTCGTGCACCTCGGCAGCGCACTCAGGAGCATCAACATGATCCTCACGGGAGTACTCAGCGGGAGCATCGGGGTGGACGTGGGTGAAGTCACCCTTGATGGCATGGTTGTCCTCGTTATGCTCGTTCACACCGGTGGTAACATCAATGTTAGTCGGAGTGGAGAAACCGCTACCACCGTCATTGCCAGAAGGCCCTCCGATTGCGGTACCACCGCCAACGCTGGTCTCCGGGGTGGGGGCGTACGCGCGACGACCAAAAGCGATGCTTCCAGCGGCAGGACCATTATTGTTGTTCTTCAAGGAAGTCAACTCATAATCGAGTGTAGTGTGAGGCTCGTAGTGAGGCTCGTAGCTGGGGCTGTAGTGAGGCTCGTAGTGCGGCTCGGGGTGGTTCTCAATGTGCGGCTCGGGGTGGTTCTCGAAGTGAGGCTCGGGGTGAGGTGCGTAATGAGGCTCTGAGTGAGGCTCATAGTGTGACTCGGTGTGAGGCTCATAGTGTGACTCGGTGTGAGGCTCGAAGTGAGACTCAGGGCCACCAGGGCCGCCAGGTCCACCAGGGAAACCGCGGCGACCAAAGGCGATGCTTCCGGCTGCAGGACCATTGTTGTTGTTCTTCAACGAAGTGATCTCGTTCTCAAGTGTGGTATGGGGCTCATAGTGAGGCGCGTAAGTCGGGCTGTAATGGGGCGCATAGTGAGGCTCCGGGTGGTTCTCGGTGTGCGGCTCGGGGTGGTTCTCAAAGTGAGGCTCGGGGTGAGGTGCGTAGTGAGGCTCGGAGTGGGGCTCGAAGTGAGACTCAGGGCCGCCAGGACCACCCGGGCCGCCAGGGAACCCGCGGCGACCAAAAGCGATACTGCCAGCCGAGGGGCCGTTGTTGTTGTTTTTCAACGAAGTAATCTCATGCTCCACTGTGGTGTGGGGCTCATAGTGCGGCTCATAGCTGGGGCTGTAATGAGGCGCATAGTGAGGTTCCGGGTGGTTCTCGAAGTGTGGCTCAGGGTGATTCTCGAAGTGAGGTTCCGGGTGAGGCTCGTAGTGGGGCTCGGAGTGAGGCTCGAAGTGACCCGGAGGTGGAGCCCCGCCGTGACCAGGAGGGCCATGGTTCTCGGAGCGACGGAAGGGAACGAAGCCATGGCCATGAGGACGTGGGTAGATATCCTCATGCTTCAGCTTGATGGAATGGTCGTCCTCGTTGTGCTCCTTGACGTTAGTGTCGGTCTGAATGTAAGTGGGAGCGCTGAAACTCTGTCCACCATCGTTGCCAGAGGGGCCGCCAATGGCGGTGCCACCTGCGTGAGGAGGCCCGAAGCGCTTCCCGAAGGCCCCTGGAGGAGTGTTGAAGCCAGCGGGAGGCGGACCAGCGGGACCACGGTAGCCGCCACGAGGAGGTCCATTGAATTGAGGGGGAGGGTGCAGAACGGCAACAGGGTGGACATGCTTGTTCTTGATATCGATGGAATGATCATCCTTGTTCACATCCTCGACCTCGGTGTTGAAGACACCAGTCACAGACATATCAAAGCTCTGTCCCTCATCATTGCCTGAGGGGCCGCCAATTGCAGTTCCACCTGGAGCACCACGCTTTCCCTTGTCGAAAGGTCCCATTCCAGGGACCTGGGGTCCGCTGGGGACACCCGGGTGGCCAAATGGCACAGGGACCACGGGGGGGCGGGGATACACGTCGGTGTGCTTCAGCTTGATGGAGTGGTCATCCTTGTTCCACTGGTTCACCTTGGTATCGGTCTTGATATTGGCAGAGTAGGGGCTGACAAAGCCATCGTCGCCATCATTCCCAGAAGGCCCACCGATCGCGGTACCGCCAGCCTGGGGATGGAAGTCACCATGGCCAGAATGTCCATTGATGGCGGTAGCACCAGTCTGGGGGCGGAAATCATCATTGCCTGAAGGTCCACCGATAGCAGTCCCACCAGCCTTGGGATGGAAGTCATGCTCGTGCTATACATTGGGTTAGCTGGAGGATCGGCATATTGAGAGTAGGATGACATACACGTTCAGCAAACTTGGCCTGGGCAGCAACTGCCAGCAATGCCACAGGGATTCCACCGATAAAGCCCTTCATGATTGCGTTGCTTGGGAGATGTTACTGGGAAAAGACGTATGCTCTTGCGCGTAGGAGTTAAAAGAGTGACTGGAAACGAGTGCTACTGGAGCGGGATAAAAGAATGGCTCGATTGATGGAATATTCTCCTTTGAAGCAATGAATAGTAATCCATCGTCAGGAGATTTTCACACCTTTAGTAGTTTCGTCGCATTCATGATCGCCAGCTCAACAAGCAGGCGGGAATGCCGTTGCATCAACAGGGACTGCATCCTGACATGAGGCCAAGGCGAGGGTAATACCATTAGAATGTCGTAAGGAATGAAAATAATACCAACAAGTAAGAAAATACCCCTCGATCGTGGTCAGATCGTAAACATCTGCCATGCAATCCCCTAAAAATGCGGTGATACTGCATTCCGCAGGGTGAGAGGGGTGAGATCACCACCTGGGTAGGGGCATTCAGAGATCGAGCAAGCCCCTTGGTTGGTCCGGGACATTTTGATTGACAAATTTGCACTCGTCGTTCGGAATTGATGCCATAGTCATGTTCGACTCATCCCCAACAGACTCAAATATGGACGATCTTGTCCATGTCCTTCGTTCGGTTAAACCACCGTGCGACCGGATAGCATATGGCATGGATTCCCAGTGATGTCAAGTCAATAACGAGTATTAGGTCTAGCTCACTCGACATTACAAGAACATTGCACTGTGACTCTGAGACTGGTAGCATTTATGCATTGTTTACAATGGATATCTTCCGTTCTCCTATGTAATTCTATGAATAGTAAACCATCACATGCATCAATGCACTGGTCGTTACTCTCGCTCTCAACTACTAGAACAGAGTTGACGCGAAGGAATGTGTCCCGTCTTCGACATTCAAATCCCACCGCCCTCACTGAAGAGGACACAGAGGGGAAACGAACTTCCTATCGAGGATCATCTATCTCCTGAGCCGATCAGTCCCGTAAGACCGAAGTCCGTAGGACCGAAGGCAACACATCGTCGTGGGGATGTCGTAAGACAGGACAATGGTCGTGGCAGGCTCAGTTGCTTTTTTTCGATGAAGAAGAAAAGAAAAGGAAGAAGGGGCCGAAAAGTTTGTGGTCTTTTATAGCGCTAGTGGGGTCCCGGGTCGGATTTACACTATCCCGCTTAGTCCCGAGGTCGGTCCGACCTAGCTTACGTTTTCGCTCCCATTTTTCAAGTTCAAGAGCTACAAATGACAACTCATGCACAGGTCGTATTCAAATGAATAGGGGGGTAAAAAGAAATAACTAAGGATATGATACAGCAGTTCCGGCCAGTTCATGACATGTCCAATTCATTACCCGTAGGATTTTGTTCATGCCGGAATGTGACATGCCCCTGGACGAGTGCGATAACCTCAAATGCTCCTAAACTCCAACTCTCCATAACATCCTCAAGCAGCAAGAAAGAAAAGGGTGATTAGTTTAGGTCGGCGAGCTCGGCAAGTGAATCACAATGAATGGTGATTGGGCTCCTCGTTGCCCGAATCAAAAGTAGTAACATCGAACCTTGAAGTTGCATGTCCTGTCAGCGGTGGATCCAACCCAATAGGTGAAAGAGACTCTTAACTCACTCATACACCAATCGCCGTTTTCTTAGCACTGGCTTTCCATCCTGCCCCTCCCACCGCCGCAGTGATGCCCAATGCTATCGCAATCATAGTCCCCACTGTTACCACAGCCACGACTGCCTTCAGTGCCATTCGTTGTTTATTAGTCAGGGTCTGCAGCCATGTCAATGGCTTGTTCTCTTCCTCCCACAACTTCGATCGTCGGGGACTATCCGTTCGGCAGCTCGCGTACGGTCCCAGGCTTTCGATATCTCTCATATGGCTTCTCCGATTGGCGTTCTTTGTTTCGAAGGTGAGTTGTTCATGTGAGATTGTTGGACTTGAATGAGGATAGAAAGGCGAACATGGCTTTGCACCAATCGATGGATCAAACTCCTGGCTGTGAGCCCCAGGCGAGGATGTAATGGAGCATCGTGGGGGCGCGAACTTGGGCGTGTCAGGGATTTTCTCGTCGTTGGTTTTGATCGATGCGGCCACCTGGGCCCCAATCACTCCAAGTCCGTGCAAACTCATAGCGATCAGCCAAATGTGGCTGGGAAGGGAGGATATCGAGTTCGCAGATCAAAAGATCTTGGATAGTGACCTCTTCAGGCTTTTTCGTTTGGACTTGGATCGTTGTACCGGGCGTGGTTCTTTGGTCTTGGGTGCTGGTGTTGTGATTGCCTCAACGGGAATGGCAACAGTCGGGACACCGCCGTACATAAACAATGCCGTATCAACCTGGAATGCGCTCCAAGTCCAGGCGGACCGCGGCAGTCTCATCACTCGGACTTATCACAATAAGGAATATAATTATTTAAATAGTCGAGGGGGCGAATGTGTGCCCGTCAAAAGGATATTTTGAGATAAAAATGGATGAGTGGTGGTTTCCTCTTGAAGCGCACCTGGACGGGTTTTGGGGCAACTCCACGGCAGCAATCTGGATTGTTTTAAAGGGTCCTGGGTACATTCAGGAACACCCTGTGGGGGAACTGAATCATTTCTGTAGGGATACAATGCCCTCATTGGCTCGAGGATTGTTTCTCACCCCTAGATTGGCATCTCGTGTGTCTACAAGCATTCCAATGCCCCTTATAGTGTAAATTATATTCCCCTGCAGCAAAAGAACCCTACTATTGGTAAATCTTTGCTTGAACGGCATTCTTATCGGTCGATCATGCGATCCCCTGTTCCACGTCCTCTCTCCATAGGCTCTGTTTGACATTGTAACCCTGTTTCCCACTTGGGTGTGGGCTCCACCCTAGCACTAGCATATAAGGAAACGCTGTTGTTGGTATCTCTCGGTGGAACAGGCTACAGGGCGACAGGGGCGTATTTAAAATCGGGCTGTCTCTATCCCGGCATGGTTCATATATTGTAGGTCACATCCTAAAGATGGTACAAGCTGTCTGACATTGTACAATTCACACCGGCAGCCTGCAGTAGAGTAGGTAGCATCAATTAAAGTCATAAATTAACATAATCTAATTTCCAAATTTCTGTGCAAACTGTTGAGTGGATGTCTACCGGCCCTCCCACTATCAAAGCTTACCAGGAAGCTAGAAATTTCTTATATTCGGCTACAACTAATTCGACTACCTAAAAATAAATTTGTTCAATGAGATAGAGAAGTAGTTTTTGATCACTTTCCTTGGGCGTTTTTCTATGTTAAGCCATGTTAGGTTGGAGCAAAATAATCTAATTGGTAATGATATTGACATATATCTTGACGATGTTCCTTAGAAAAACATAGAATGTAGAACAAAATACACGTACGTCCAACTCGAATGCGTTTCAATATGATGGGAGATTTGAGAGACCATTTATCATATGAATATATATTCATTCACCGGCTCACTCGCAGCATTGACATCGACTTGCCTACAAACCTCGAAGTATCTTCGGATGGCACTCAAATACTCAAGGAATATATAATATTATGTCGCTCATCTGCATCATGTACAATAATGGAGAAGTAACTACAGAGAAATGTCATACTTCGGCCAATTAAGTTTCTTATTAGACTTTATTTTACTATGGGGGTTTACCCATCAGGCGGATGTTGAGAGTAATACCAGCAAAGTATACCTACCTCATGATCATGCCAGCTAGTATCTATAGCGACCTCAGGATGCAACCTAGCCTCGCCACTCACTCATCAATAGGCCAGTACTACTCATCAAAGATGGACTATGTAGTTTACTCCAAGCCTAACAACTCCTCAAAAATGATAGCTGCTACGATAAGAGGGGCAAAGCAAGGGTGAAGTCAAGATAGCAACAACTCATTCCGAAAAATTCTTACCCCTAGATCCGCTATGCTTAATAAACAAAACCACGAGAGCCAAATACAAACCGGAACTTGTATACATGTTCATTTATTCAACGCATAGTAGCCAATAGGCTCAGTAATAATATAGACCATAATACATTACAATCTGTAAATCTGCTGAGGCTGATGCCTTGGGCCCATAGGACCCCTTCCCTCTCTCCTGATATCATATATCACCCATCAATCTCCTTCACGTCAGGGCTGTTATCTTGCCAATGTTTGATCTTTATCTCGATGCCTGAGTGATTTCACCGTGAGAAATCTCAAGTGCAGTGGAGCACGCCTCCGTCATGTGTATGGCAGTTCTATTCAGATCAGTTTCTAATCACCACAATGCAACCAGAGAGCGACTCACCGCAGGTACTGAGGAGGTTGTCGAAGGGGCATCGGTGGTTGTTGCAGTAGGAGTTGACTGACTAGTCACAGCCGCGGATGTTGTTTGAACATCAGCTTCATCAGCTTCATCATGCGTATGCTGGACACCTGCACAGCCAACTCCCGGCACAGCAATGTCGTAAGCATATACCTCTAGTGCAAAATACTGAAGGCTTTCCGAATCATGGGTTGACAGCGTCGCGTTCGTCTTCGCCATGTCAACGACCGCTTCATATCCGTCTGCGAAATGGTCTACCCAGTTCTGTCCGACGGCAGGAACATGATATAGGCGGTGCAGGAGATCGGTGGCCCAGAAGATACTGGTGTCAGATTGCGAGACTGTATATCCAAGGCCGCACATTGTTGAGAGGGGACGACGAGTTTGGTAGCTCAAGTCGCAGATGACTGTCTCATGAGTGCCATTTTCGCCTCGCCAGTGTCCGGCATAGCCTATTTAGTTCAAATGTTTAGTATGTCATCGCTAACACAGAGCAAGATCCAATACCTTCAAAGTCGCAATTTCCATCTGGGTTGTCACATCGGAACAAAAGGTCTTTCCTATCCCCATTGACCACGACATCGAATGCACCGATGGTTTCCATGGTTGGGCGACCACCGAAAAACTTCTTGTAGATCGTACTCTCATTTCCCCATCTCAAGATATGGTTCTTAGCATGTTCAGCAATAGCAATAGTCTCGTTAAGACCTTGCGCAATCTGGCGACGCTGGG